AAGAGTTATACCAAATAATATTATATAATTCATATTCTTTGGTTATACAGATAAACAAAACAGAAATTATTCGAAGTAGATGTATTTTTAAGAACATGTCTATTCTTCATATATTGATACATAGATACTTTTGTAAATGCTAGTAAAGTTTAACAAGGGGACACAGTGGTATAGAAATAAAAAATAGGGGAAAACATAATTATTTAACTTCTAAACGGTTTGGCCGGTTTTCTTTTTAAGTTATCTAAAAAATTTCTAAGGATCTCATTTTATAAAACGAAACGACAAACGTTCAAAAAATGTTTATGGAAAAAATTAAAATTTTCAAAAATTTTCCAGTATTCTTCATCCAATTTTTTTACGTTAACGAAAGTTTCGTTTTAGAAAATTAGAGGGTTATAAAGAATTTATACTTTTTGAGAAGAAAGAATTTATTTATTAATGATAAATTGATATGGTTCGACTAAACTTAAATAAATAGAATTTAAAGTCTCTTATGATCTGCTTTTGGATCACATATTCTCATGGGCGTATGATTATGATCATTGAATTATATATTAATCATACGTACATGTGTAATACATATTTGCACGATTGGTATCAGTGCTGCCAGAAAATGAATTTCAAAATTTTCTAATATAACAAAACAATTTATTTCAAAACTTGCGAATATAAATGATTGTTTTTTTCTAATTTTATTTTTATTAACATACTGGCTTTCAAAACATTTCAATTTCACATGAAATCAAGATTTCACACGAAATTAAAAATGTGATGTTCCCGTTTTCAATTGGTTTCAAATTTAGTTTTACAACAAGTAATCTTAGTCATATCATAACACATAATCTTAGTCATATCCCGCGCAAAAATAAACGAAAAAGTTTAGAAATGATAAAAAAATGCTTGAACTTTTTTCTATTGCATTGATTGTAAATCCAATTTTTGCTATTTAAAATGCTTATGTTTTTATAAAAATATTATATTTAAACCAGAGTACGAAAACAAATGAAACATTTCGCAAACGTTTCCATAATGTACAAAACTTTTCAAAATTTTTAAATCGTTTTGTACATGAGCAAAACTAAAACAAATACTTTTTAAGTGAGAATGAGCGAAAACAAAACAATTGGCTTTTCGCTCATCTACTTGCTTTTGTTTGCCTTTATAATCGTACATTTGAGAACAAAACAAATGCAGAAACGTATTTTATGAAAGAATCATAAAGTGTGTGTGGATTTCTTTTAATTTGTACGGTTTTTATTTTGTTTTTGTTTTTATACCCACCATCAAAAAAGATGGGGGGTACATTGTTTTTGTCATTCCGTTTGTAACACATCGAAATATTCATCTAAGACCCATAAAAGTATATATAAATTCTGGATCCTTATTAAATTCTAAGACGATCTAGCCATGTCCGTCCGTCTGTCCGTCTGTCTGTCCGTCTGTTGAAAACACGATAGAGTCCAACCGGAAGCAGCTAGCAGCTGAAATTTGCACAAATATTTTATATTGAAAATGGGCAATATCGGTCCACGATTTCGACTAGCCCTCATATAAGGTCCCCTTCAAAAAATGACTTTAACGATTATAACTGACTAAAAGAAACATCTATAGCGATGAAATTCGACATGAACATATTTTATAGGAACCTTAATATCATTGTAAAATTTCATAAGGATCGGTCCATAATTGACCCTATCCCCCATATAAGGTCCCCCCTGAAATGACATTAACGCTCATAACTGGCTAAAAGAAGCAGCTATAGCAATAAAACTCGACATGAACATATTTTTTAGGAATCTTAAATCATTGTAAAATTTTATAAAGAGCGGTCCATAATTGACCCTATCCCCCATATAAGGTCCCCTTCAGAAAAAGTCATTAGCGCTCATAACTGACTAAAAGAAGCAGCTATAGCGACGAAATTCGACATAAACATATTCTATAGGAACCTTAATATCATTGTAAAATTTTATAAGGATCGGTCCATAATTGGCCCTACCCCCCATATAAGGTCCCCTTCTGAAAATGCTTTTAAGGCTCATAACTGTCTAAAAGAAGCATTTATAGCGATGAAATTCGACATAAACGTATTCTATAGAAATATTAACCGCTTTGTAAAATTTTATAAGGATCGGTCCATAATTGATCCTACCCCCATATAAGGTCCCCTTCAGAAAATGACTTCAACGCTCATTACTAGCCTAAACTAAAATCGTTCTAGAAAATTTGAAGAGGGTCGGTCCATAATTGACCAAACGTCCCCCCTAAATGAGGTCCCTCTTAGAAAATAACTTTAACGCTTTTTACTACCTTAAAAATAAAAAGACAGCGACAAAATTCGACAAAAATGTCTCTACTAAATTTTAGGAGGATCAGTCCATAATTGATCCTATCGATATACATATGTATGATGGTAAAATTATACATAGATGTAATAAATGAGAAAATTGTTTTGATAATAACAAAAGCATCGATTTTAAATATGAAAATTTATTTATAAGGAAGCATTCCTTTTTGGCAATGATTTGATGGTGGGTATACAAGATTCGGCACAGCAGAATATAACACTCTTACTTGTTATTACTACTGTATTCCACATCTACAAAAACTTAAACCTACAAGTCTTCTTTTAATTTTGCTCAAAAATGTTTTTGTAATAAGCAAAACCATAAGAAAACGTTTGCGAAAATGTTTCGCTCAAAACTTTTCAGTTTTGCTCCCTTTGTTTTCCCAGCGGTTAAAATACACATTATGTACACGCTTATCTAAATGATATTTCGTCGCAGTCAGTGGTGATGCTTTCACTTATTCTTCCAGTTAGATTTAACATAAAAGTGTCCTAGGCTGCCTCATCGATGTGCTCTCGCTTAAAATGTAAGCCACAGTTTCATTAAGACAAATTAAAATTTCACTCACATAATGTGTGGAGTTCTAAGCGAAGTTAATGAGACGCCTATAAACGCTTGCAAATAAGAATGTAATGTATGTAGATTACAATCCTATTTGCATTTGTTAGTTAAAGTACCATGTCTTCCGATTTTGTTATAGAAAAAATTTATATTTTTTTACGTTTATTTCAAATTATGTAAGTTTATTTAAAAATTATCATCAAATAATAAACATGTATTATAGTTAATTCAATAAAAATATAATTAAACAATTTTAACGAAGATAAATGAAATGAATCTTAATTTTCTTTTGAAACTTTCGGTCATCTTCCTTTACAGATCCTGTAAACAAACAAGAGGAAATTGTCAGTATTAAAACTAGAATGTATGAAGTAAATTTACCCCAATTTTTAAATCCGTTTGTGCCATTTAGATCACCACAATTATTTTAAATTTTTACAATAAAATAAATTTTTTAAGAAAACACAACTTCACTTACAAAAGATCAACTTTAAACTGAAACAAAAAAATTATTCTTTTCATGTAGTACCTATACATACAAAAGAAAAATAAAACGGTACTTTAGTTCTGTTCTTTTAAAAGATATAAAAACAAAAAAAAAAACAACATGAAAAAGGCAGCTAACTCTCTGCTTAAATCGTAATCTATGTTATAATTAAAGTGCATGATATGTTGGATTACGCATACATTGCACTCTAAGTACTTAGATTGCTCGCTTAGAACGTCATACTGATGTCATCGAATATTATCTAAGTACTTTGTTTCATTTACCGCTGGGTTCTTTTTTAGCTGCGTACATTTGAGTTAATGAACATGATGTGCTTAAAAGCAAAAACAATACAAAACCAAATGAGAAATCGTTTTTGTTGTTTTGGTTTTGTTTCTGTTTTACTCACTGCAAAGATCAAAACAAAACAAAACAATTGCAAACATTTCGTTTAGTATATTTTCGTACTCTGATTTAAACAAATTAATATCTGAGGTGTTAGCTTTCAACGTCTCCTATTTCAAGTTCACCTATATTTGTCCAAACGTTCGTATTGGTTTTATAAGTAACATGCTAAATTTTAAGATTTTACCTTGGAATTTCAATTTGGTTATTTAATTCATATAAAACCTCCCTAATCAAAGTCTGCCCATTTTTTACCAATATTCACAAACATGTAAAAACTCTTCCTGCAAAATTTGAACATGCTAGCTCTAATAGTTTCCCAGATAAACGAATTTTCGTATTTTCATATATTGGGTGTCGTGGAATATTCATATAGGACGTGCCGTGGAATTCTAGCTATAATAGATTTGTAGATTAACGAATTTCTGTACTTAATTCATATTGGAGGTGCCACGCCCCTTATTGCTAGTACGCCAATTTTTTCCTTTATATTCATATTGAAACTAAAATGGCTTTGAGAAATTTTGAGGACTCTAGCAGTTATATTTTCCCAGATATACTAACTTAATATTTTTACAAGGAAGATGCCATGACTACCTTAGCTAGACTGCCCATTTTGCCATGTGTTCATATAGATGTCAATCTTGCACTTTGTGAGATATGCGACTTTTAATAATTATTTTGTATGTGGACGTTGTACCTCACCTACTTCAAATTCCAAAACAAAAGGTAGCCTATAGTTACTTCCAGGCATACTGGAAGACACTGTGAAAATTTTAACAAAAAGTCTATAAAGTTCAAACAAATGCATATTCATGTGAATTTTTAATCCTTTTCTGTCTCTGAAGTTTTTCTATTAATTGATATGCAATACTCAGTGGGGTTATTAAAAAAATAAACAATTTTAGAGAAATTTTATTTTTTAATAATATAATTATTTTACTTCATTCACAATAAAATTTATTGACTTACCATAAACCGTTCCATAAATAAATCCCAATGTACAAATACAAAAGCGTTACCGTTTCAATGAACAAGTAAAAAGAATTTTTTATGTTTCATTTTATACATAAATATAAATATTTGTAATTTTGGTTTTATTAATTTCAATGTATTCATATACACACAATTATGTACATATACGTATACAACATCCAACTTATTTATATATTTTTGTTGTTGTGTTGTTTTTGCAGCAATAAAGGAGCAATCAATACCGGAGTTGAAAAAAATACGACGACCACAAAGAAATGCTATCTATGAATATTGTCTGATAATTAAAATAACCGAAAGTGAACATACAATATGATTTATAGAAACGAAAAAGGACAATGCGCAACATAAACAAACAAAGAAAACACATACATTTGTATGTATATACATATATGAGGATGACGATGGCCACCGAACAGAAACAGAACCAGTTAAAAACATTATCATCAACTATAACTACAAATTCAACGGCAACTACAAGCGATTCTTGCCACACGTGTGTATAAACACATACACATAAGGACATTATATATACGTATATGTATTTAAATTGTATCCAGATATAAATACAAAAGTTATGCCAAACAAAATCCATAAATAAGAACGATCAACGAGTATGTGCTCTGCCTTGTTTTTTGGCTTGAATTCCTTTATTTGTGTTGTTTCAAATAATATAGTATGTATTCGTAATCTGTGAAATACAAAAGCCAAATAAATAAAATACCAAACCAAATAAAAAAACAAAAAAGGAAGCAATCGAACACCACACCAGTATTGAACACTGGATAAAGGATCATAAAACCATAAATGTATACAAATCTGCCAACCAACCAACCAGCCAGTGGGAAAAGGTTACGAAAACAAAAATAAAACTTTTTGTTTCTTTGTTTTTATGAACAAGTACTCTGCATATTTAAGAGCTGTGAGCCGAATGCTGTGATATCACTGAAGTTTTTCTTTTTTAACAACTACAACACAAATATAAAATAATAAACCAACAACAAATAGAAAAACTTTCTACATTCATATGAAAATTCATATTTCTGTTTTGTAAAACAGTGTGTTTAAGTTTAAACGCGTCTGTTTGTTTGCCTGTCCGTATGTGCGGATGTGAATGTGCCCCAAAAACTACAGACACTTAAAATTGTATTGTTGTATACTTTGCTCCTTGAAACGAGTATTTGGCAGATACCACACATATATACAATCATCCTAGTGCGGATGTTAAGGAATGATAGAGAACAGAACAATAAGTACAAGGCCAACGAGAAGGAAAATTGTTTTTTAACACTATACAACTACATAAAACGACGTTAAGCCAGTAGTCAGTCATATAGCGGACCAACCAGTCAGCCACATAGTCTGTCAGCTATACAACAGTTTCGTACCCAATTGCCTTGGAAACCAAATAAAAAAGTGTGATTTATACGCACATTTTTCTTACAAACACGCACACATACACAAAAGTAAATCATTGTATGGTATATGTATATGTGTAAATAATTGAATGGTTGAACGTACGGACGGACAAATAGCCATTTGTTCGATTGTGTGTAAATTTTACGTATGTTTCAACAAACTACTTTATACCCAAATACCCAAACGTACCGTATCGCATGAATGTTATTCATTGAAACATTTAAAATCTCCGACAATCATACAAACAAACATACGCAAGGACAAACGCACAAACACACGCATAATCATAAATATCACATACATCCATTCAAGGATTGAAATTACTGACCCACTTGTGTACAATACATTCATTTGTACTTATGTGTATGTGTGTACTTGTATGTTTGTAGGGAGCAGAAGAGCAAGCAATAGTTCATTCTATTTGTAATTTTACTATTTGGTGCTTGCTAAAGAGGCTTTACGAGCAATAAATGTCGAGTTAAGTCCTTTACGTCTTCTGCCTAAAGAGGCTGGTCAACCTAAACTATTAATTAAAGGCAACTAAATCTGACGGAAAAACAAGCTCGCACACACAAGCAATTTTCGCACACCATTTAGATTGTACGCACCCAAACAAATAAAAGCAAAAAAAAAAAACATAGAAAAAACAAAAATATTTGGTAAAATACTACAGCAGCAGGATCAACGAAATATATGTGAGACACTTCCAACTGCCATCTAAGCAACCCCAAATAGAAAACAAAAACAATCTAACCATCATACACCTACTGAACAAACATTGTACAGTCGGAGATACACACAGACAGGCGAGGCCGGCCGTTAGCCAGTTTGTATCACATAATGACCACACCGACGGAAGTGAAATATACGAGTTTATCGCTGTCATCGTTAATCACATGTTTTATATCCTCCATTGTACTTGTTAGCTGCCTGCTGGAGAACTTTGTCTCGACGTCAGCTAATGCTACGCCATTGGCAGTGGCCGAGGAAGTTTTAAGTTGGGATCATGCCGTCGATTTGAATGAGGATTTTCGTATTTTATGGAAAATCATTAATCAAGATATAACATTTGAAATACAAGCACGTACACTGGGCTATGTAGGTTTCGGATTTTCACCCGATGGTAATATTGCTGGCTCTGATATGGCCATTGGTTGGGTTGACAGAGGCCAAACATACTTTCAGGTAAGTTTGTTTTTTTATTTGCATTTTCTTTTATATCCAAATATACATACATTCATACTCGCCATTTGTCTTAACCTTTATAGAATTAGAGCAAATTTTTATTACAACATACGTGAATTTTGTGCTTAACACTCACTCTTTCTGTCGCTATGGTCATAAAATGTTAAATCATTATTTGCTAAACGGATTCATGGTTAAAATAATATTATTAACAAAATTATTATATTTGGGAAACATGTGTCCATGTATGTGTACAATTATTAAATTAATCATTGTTTGATTAAGGAACGAATGCTAGAGCAATTCTTGGTTTGATACGCTAAGAATGCACATTAGACGTGCCCAAAAGATATCTATATTGTTTAAATAACTAGTTAGTTTTACCGTAAGAAAATGATTGTAAAGTGAAAAATTGGGTATTAGTACATTTTTTATTTATTCAAAATTTAATAATTATTTTTTCTTAATATTTCTTCTAAATCTCAATTTGACATTTTTGCCAAACAGATGATTTTCTTATCCATGTAACTTATTACTAGGGAAACCAAAAATATATGCCCTAAAAAATAGTGTTTATGTGCATCAAATATACAGTAAAAAAAAAATATGCTCTTAAAATGTACAAAATATGCCCCAAAAAAAGTTTTAATGATTTTTTAACATACATATACATATCACGTAAAATATGCTCTATAAAACTCGAATATGCCTTAAATATGCTGCTGACATCAAATAATACAAAATTATGCTCTTGTGGATAAAATATGCGCTAACAAATCGATGCGAAAATTCTTAAATTGTTATGAAACGTGTAAATATCTTGTCCATGAGTCAATAAGACGCATCAAAAAAATTGATTTGCATATTTAGGTTTCCCTGCTTATTATACCCTACTCAGAATCACTTTTTGAGTTGATTAAGACATTTTTTTCCCAAGGACGTAGCCTATTACAAATAAAAACTGCAACTCAGACATTTGACCATAAATTTTGGATTTTTTTTTAAGACAACATTTGTTTCTTTAAAATATATCAGATTTGAAAATCGGTTACTTATGATTTATCAAAGCAAAACTTCAGAAAAGGCGCCTTTTCACGTCTTTCGCTCTTAAAAAGTAAGTTAACGAAGTGATGGGGGAAAACTAAAATGTGGGAAAACAAAATAATTTTTATTTGGAGTTTAATACTGTACAACATTTTACAAATAAAGTTGTCTTGGCGCTGTTATAATGTCTTAAAAAGGGCCAAAAATTGAGTTTTCTCAAACTTCAGGACACGATATCTCAAATCCCTGATATGATGGAGATCAGATTCGCATTCAGTGCTGATCAATCCTTTAGAATCGTCTTACTTGGTCTCAAGCTTTCGACATTTTTCCAAATTTTGTCGGCCTGTGTTACTTTTGGTCCCTGATATAAAACGTCAATTTACCCTACCCTTTTCAATAGTGCGTATGAGTAACATTTATAAAAAATAACAAGTATACTCAGTAAGAATGATATCACGGAAACCTGAAAATGCAAATACAAGTCTTCGATACCCTCCACCAACATCAATGATGATAGAAGGTATATGTATATAAGTTTGTTATTCCGTGTTTACCACCAAGAAATATTCATCTGAGACCCAAGATATATATATATATATACATATATGTCTATTAGACCGACTCACTCTGTATGTAAAGCAAAAACGTGTTTTTGTTACCCCTCTCAAAATTTACATTGCCAAAATATTTGAAGTCTTGCGATGGTCGTTCGTGAGCTGGACCAAATTTAAAAAAGGTATTTTTTAATTATTTTTTTAAAATTTTAGTTTTATTTAGAAACAATATATTCAATATGTGGTATCGTTTGAAAGGGGTTTTAAAGCCGCGTCCAATGATGTATTAATCATAAATAACAGCCTGCTCATAATTATCACATTACAAAAAAAAAAAAAAATTAAATTGTTAGGTTTTTCATTAATATAAATTAAATGTATGCAAAATTTTAAACACCACTAGAAGTGGCTTCAAAAAATCTTTCAAATGATACCACATATTGTATATTTTGTTTAAGAAAAAACTGTAAAATTTCAAATCATAACTAACAAGTGAGAGTGTTATATTCGGCTGTGCCGAATCTCATATACCCACCATCAAACCGTATGCCGTAAAAGAAATGCTCCCATATAAACATCAGGGTGATATTTGGAATATGGCTTAAGTCAATTATGGATAGAGCTCTTTTGAACTAACGTATGAGTAATTTTCTGACCTTTATATGCGTCAATAATGAACCGATACTCATAAAATTTTGTACATAGATTTCGTTTTGTATAGAACTTGTTTATGTCAAGTTTGATCGCAATACTCGTATTTTAAATAAGGAACACTCTTTCCTGAAAGAAACCTTTTATAGGCGCTAGGGTCAGTTATAGATCAGTCTTCATTAGATTCGGAATGAAGAATTATGTTCCTAAGTATATACTTTTTTATGCCGATTTTCATAGCTCTAATAGTTATTTTCTGAATCCTCCCCATCAAATTTTCTAAAAAGGACCTTATATGAGGGGTATGGTCAATTATTGATCTATCCTCATGACTTTTTGTACACCAATTTTTGTTCATATACAACTTGTTTACATTGAATATCATCGATGTACTCGCATTTTTATGCCAGTAATTAGAGGTAATGTAATTTTCTAAAGGGGGCTTATATGCGGGATAGAATGAATTACCGCCACATTCCGCATAAAATTCGGTAGCAAGATTAAAGTTCATATAGAAGTTTGTTATGTCAAATTTCATAACTCGTATTTTTAAGCCAGCATGATCGTTTAAGTAATTTTCTAAAGGGGGACCTTATATGGGGGCTCGCGAGGAACTTACTTGTGTCAAATGTTATCGCTATACTCGTATTTTTTAACCAGTAATGAGCGTTCAAGTCATTTTGTGAAGGGGACCTTGTATGGTCAATTATGAACTGATCCTCACTAAATTTGGTAGAGAGATTTTGGCTCGCATAAAACCTTTGTGTGACAAATTTCGTCACTATATTCATATTTTTAAGCCATTAATGAGCGTTAAAGTCATTTTCAGAGTTAAAAAAAAGTTAATAGAGAGGTTTTGGTCCTTAAGAAACTTACTTATACCGAATTTCATCGCTATACTCGAATGTTTAGGCCAGTAATGTGTGTGAAAGTCATTTTCTGAAGGCGACCTTATATGGGGGGTAGAGTCAATTATGGACCGAACCACAGTACATTTGGTAGAGAGATTTTGGATCACATAAAATTTATACGTGTCGAATTTTGTCACTATGTTCATATTTTTAAACCGATCCTAATGGAAAGTTAATAGAGAGGTTTTGGTCCGTAAAAACCTTACTTATACCGAATTTCATCGCTATACTCGAATGTTTAGACCGGTAATGAGTGCTAAAGTTACTTTCTGTAGGGGACCTAATATGGGGGCTAGGGTCAATAATGGACAGATCCTCAAAAAATTTCGTAGAAATATTTTGGCTCATATGAAACTTACTTATACCGAATTTTATCGCTATACTCGAATGTTTAGGCCAGTAATGAGTGTTAAAGTCATTTTCTGAAAGGGACCGTATATGGGGAGTAGGATCAATTATGGGCCGATCCTCAAAAAATTTTGTAGAAAGATTTTGGCTGATATAAAACTTATTAATATCGAATTTGATCGCTATACTCGTACTTATAAAACAGTTATTCCCGTTAAAGCTGTTTTTTGGAGGTCCACTTGTATGGGGGCTATCGGAAAACGTGGACCGATATTGCTCATTTTCAATACCAAACAAACCTTAGAAATAGAGTATATTTATGTAAAATTTTAACTGTCTCCCGTGTGGGCCCTATCGTGATTTCAACAGACAGACGGACGGACAGACGGATGGGCATGGCTAGATGGTCTTAGAATTTAATAAGGGCCCAGAATATATATACTTGTGTGGGTCTATGACCAATATTTCGATGTGTTACAAACGGAATGACAAAATCAATTTATCTGTAAAACTCACTCACGTTAAAAGGAAGCAATGGAAATTAACGAAATTCATCTAAAACATTCTATAATATCCGTTACAGTTTGGTATTGAAAATCAGCACAATAAAGTTCAGAGATATAAGTAAAAATTTCAGACAACCTCGAAAAAATTTTCACCCATTTGGGAAATACTGTGTTGACAATCAGAAAAATCGGTCCACAATTTCTTATACCACCCATACAAATAGGGTTTTTCACAATAAAAGAACAAAAAATTGTTCAACAAGAAACAGTACTCGATCTCACAACGTCGATATATCAACTAGACTCAGTTGCTAACACATCATCAAAAAATTGAGCACATTGAGAAAATGTAACTGTTTATTTTCAGAAACATCAGCATTGATAAAAGTTATTCAGCAAAATTTTTTGAACAATATATGAATATGAAAAATATTAGTTTGGTGATGTGGATTGAACAGAGAATTAACAAACTTTAAATCGCCGGTTCGTATCCTGGTAAACTTATGCTTTTTCTAAATAATACGTCCACGGACATTATGAAACGCCACCATTTTAGTTATATGTCCGTTTCTTTAATACAACATATGTATAATATACATTCAATATCAAGTTTTATAAAAACTCAAGGAAACAAGTTAGAGTGTTGTGCCGAATTTTAAAAATCCACCACTATCAACATGTTATAGAAATTATAAAATTTTAAATATTTTAATATATTTGAATGTGTGTGAAAAATGGAAATAAAGATTTTAAAACCTTTTATATAATTTTGTATGATAGATATAAAAAATTGTGAACCGAAAATTCCATCCGGCCCTGCAGCTTTATAGGGAGCAAAGCTCTTGATTGCCCCTTTAACCATGTCAGTTGTAATAACTATTTCCGTGTTACCCTCCCCTTCCTCCAATATCGGTTCATCTATGTTATTCGATATACCGGGTGGGAAATGAGAATCCATTAGGAGTTTCATTGTCTCCTCCATATCCTCAAGCCTCCTGCCCGTGTCATCGATCATAGATTCCGGTTGGACATGAGTTTTGGATAGGAATTTTTTTATCTTCGATACATCATTTACGCTATCTACCTGTTCACAGAAAAGTTTCCAGGAGTCTCGTTTGGCTTTTCGAACGATTTTCTTATATTCACCAAGTTTATTACGATACTCATCCCAGTATACTGCGGTCTTTTTACGCCGTGCCCGGTTAAATAGTTTGCGAAGAGTCTTCCCAAGGTTCCGGATCTCCCCAGTTACCCAGGGTTTTTCCTGGGCAGATCTCCGCTCTCGCAGAGGGCAGCTGTCCTCGAACGATTCAACCAGGGCACTTGTGAACGTTTCCACTTTGGCATCTATATCCTCTTTATTTCGACATTGAAAAGTGTCCTGACCTAAACGGTTCTTTAGTAAGGTCCCGAACATTGTCCAATTGGTTTTAGACTTATTCCGAAACTTTATCGGCTTTGGTGGTGGCCTTAGTATTTTAAATCTTATGTACCGATGATCAGAAAAGGAGTGCTCGTCCGAAACTCTCCAATCCTGAATTTCGTTTATAAGCTCTTCTGAACATATAGTTATATCTAATACTTCTTCTCTGATTCTATTGACGAAGGTAGCTTTATTACCTAAGTTCAATGTTATCAAGTCTTTAGTATTAAAGAAATCCATGAGGGCTTGTCCCCTGCGATTGGTGTTTGTACTACCCCAAGCTACATGGTGCGAGTTGGCATCACAACCTATTACAATTTTCTTATTTTTCCTTTGTGCCTCTTCAACCAGTTTCATCAGATCCGACGTTGGTGGTAGTGTCGGAGAATCGAAAGGCAGGTAAATAGATGCAAGGAATATGTTGCCACGACCTTGCTTCAGCACCGTTGCATCCGATGTTGATAATCCTGTTGAGAGGAGAAAACATAAGTTCTTGTGACATAAGATACATGTTCTAGGGCGAGATCCTGTATCAGCGTAGAAAAGTTGGAAATTTACGTGATTTAATCCAGAAACCTTGTTGCGAATCGTCCAAGGTTCCTGGATTAAAGCTATATGTATTTTACCTGTGTTGATTTTAGCCATCAGAGCGTTGGTAGCTGTCTCGCTCCGATGGAGGTTTATTTGGATAACCTCAATCATGGTCATCCATTAAACTGTCTTCCAGCGAGTTGGTGGTCACCTCCTCGCTCTTTGGATTTGACTCCTCCGGATAGCCTGAAGTGGCTATTAATGCAGTGAGTACTGTTGATGGCACTGCGGTGTCCTTATCAGGCATAGGAATAGCAGTATTTTTAATAGACACATTCCCAATTCTGGAGAGCATTGCTGTTCTGTCTTCTGGCGGGTGAGTGATTTCCTCCTCGCTTTTAGGATTTGACTCCTCAACATTGCTAGTACTTGCTAATGATGCTTTGGGTACTGTCTTAGGTGTTTTAGTGTCCTTGTCGGGGCCGGTTTTGACAGCTCTTTCAATCGGCGCCTTCCCAATTTTGGAAAGGGCAACTACACTTTCTTCTGGCGAGTTAATGGTAAATTCCTCGATTTTAGGATTTGACTCCTCAACGTTATCAGTAGTGGATACTGATGCTGTGGTCCTAGGTTTTTTAGTGTCCTTTCCGAGGCTTGTTGTAACAGCCCTTCCAATCGGCACCTTCCCAATTTTGAATATGAAAGATTTATAGGCGAAGTAAGCCCTACCTTTATTCTTGGCAAGACTAGCCATGGATTTCTGGTCGATACCTATTACAAATAAAGTTCCCTCAGGTTCTTCTTTCCTGTAAAAGACATCCCATTTTTCCACGGCCAGCTCAGCATTTTGACCTCCAAGAATTTCCAGTATACGTTCATTAGCCAGTTTACTGCCCCATCCTTTTATGTAGACAGTGGACTTTAGGAGCACCGGAAGCTCGCTCTTCTTTGCCAGTCCCAGCCTAGCGCCGTCCCAGGGAGGAGGGATACTTTCCACCAAGTTCTTTAGGGTGCTAACACATTGGTGAGATGCCAACCTCATCAACATCACGCCCATGCTGAACTCGCAGCTCTCGCTCTCTATTGGTTGTTTGCCCTTTGAAGCGATTGCATGGTCCACTATCTTATTGTTGACCAGGTCTTCTATTTTACTCTGTTGGTCTATTGGAATTTTGCCTGTCGGATTACCGGCATCGTAAACTGCATAGCAGAGATCGTCCCGGTGCCTACTTCTGGCAACTTTGGCGTAAGATGGCGGCTCTTTTCCTTTTCCTCCGTCTAGCTTCTCCTTCCTCGTTTTTCGGGGCTTCTTTTGAGATTCCCTTATCTTCGAGGTTGATTTCGCCGACGTGTTCGTCTTCGGAATATCTGGCTTGGCGTTGTCACCCTTACTCGCAGGATTCTCACTTGAGATTCCTTTGAGTGAAGTATGGCTTGGCTTCGACTGTGTATTAGAAGATGGGGAGCTCTTTTTCTTCTTAGGTTTATTCTCAGTTGTCAACTCCTCGGGAGACCTGATCCTTTTTGCCTCAGATCTTGTGAGAGAGTCCGATTTTTCCTTTGGAGTGTCGTGGGATTGACTAACTATGATTTCCTGAAGCATCTTTTTCAACTTCCTCCTCTGTGCTCCAGAAAGTCTTTTCTTAGTAATAGGTAGTTTAGCTATGCTATCACTCACCTCTTTCACCATTTGCTCTACTTCATCCTTTTTGGGATTTGCTATAATGGTATTATTATTATCATCTGAGGATTCAGAGTCGGAACCCTCACCTATGTTTAAAGGCTGAGGTAGCTTAGAGCTCTTTTCGAGTACCGAGTTCTCTTTCACCCCTATATTTTTGCCAGCGGCATGCTGTACACTTGACGCATTGTCCGCCACGGAGGCCAAGGTACCCACCTCCGTAGTAGTATTCTGCTCACGATTGCAGGATGACGACGACACGTGACTCGCGAGTAGATCAACACTTGCCGCCGGTACTGGGTTATTTAGGCCCTGCACCGTAACTTTTATCTTTTTATTTTCATTTTCCATATTTGTTTTTTTTTTTTTCCAGTTTTTTGGTCCGCGGGGAATATAATATTCCCAGGTGGTGGACAATCTGCCCTCCCTCAGCTTAAGTGAAATTAAAGCTGGGAGAGGACAGATGGTCCATCACCACCCCCTATCCGCCACCCGGGGACGCGCTCGGTAGGAAAAATCTGGAAAACTCCCCCGAGTCTGGAAAACTCCCCCGCCTTATGTAAAAGCACTCGGTAATTATTTTCCAAAAAGGAGAAAGTGCGATTTCTGCTTATTAAATTGATTCTCTAAATTAAAATACTATTTATTCACTAATAATCACAGTTATTAAATTAATATTACATTTTTTTTCGATTTTCAAATAACCTGCTATATTTGGCTTTGCCGAATCTTAAATACACTCCATCTTAAACTGATGACGTTTGTAAATTATAAAATTTTAAGAATTGATAAAAATTTACCTTTACAATATTTACATATTATATACACATTTTCATTACGCATTTAAATATGCCATTAAAACAGAACTACCACATAACAGACTGTTAAAATTAAGAAATATTAACCTATATTAAGTATTTAACATAATTTGTATGTGTGTGAAAAATGTATGGAAGTAATGAAGTATTATAAAAACTGATTTTTAACACTGTTTATCTGCAGTAGTTTTTGTAAAAAGTAAAAAAATATGTTAAAAAACACAATTTCTTTCGTGGTTGTCTGAAATTTTTACTTATATCTATGAATCTATTAGACCGATTTGATGATTTTCAATACCAAACTGTACCGGATAATGACGGTAAATGGTTTATGCTTTCTTTTGAAAAACGCCCATTTTAAAAAAAAATGGGGAAATTAAAATAATACCTGTGCCAAATATTGCAAAATCTTGTTCTTGAGTTAAAAATTTTATTGATAGACATTCAACGCGGATCCTATTAAGCGACTATAAACCTCTCAGAGTAAATCCGATAAGCTTTCTTTTGAGCCAAAAAATGCCAATTTTGAAAAAATATTTTTGGAATGATTAAAGAAATAGCTATCTAAAGTCCTTTGGATAATTTTTGCTAGGATCAATAGGTGAAAAAACATCTTCCAAAGAACCGAAAAATAAGTAGAATTTACTCTATGGAAGTACTGAATGTTCTTTTTATTTTATTCTAAATTCATTACTTCTGAAGACGTTTTTCAAGAAGTAATTTTTATGCTCTTTTTTAGAAGTTATTTGGATATAAAATTGTTGAATTATAGAACACAACTGATTTGACTTAAATATATTAACATTAATAAGGGAAATAGACACACTTAAAACAAACACAAAAAGAGGGAAAAAGTTATATAACATCTAATGGTTTGGCCGATTGTATTGAAATTTTACAAGCGTAACGACTAAGAATTTGGACCTCATGTGCTCTGGTGGACCCATGGGCACGACGATGTTTTTATAACGCTTGATGAGGAGATTATATTTCTGTAATAGATGAAACAGGATCGTTTTAAAAATTTAACATACCCGAGGTGTCCTACTTTGCGGACGCCTGACTAAGCCCCATGAGATCCAAATTCAAAACTTAAACTCGGCAGCAAGCTCTCTTTACTAATTTATAGATATATCAATTTTAGACCCATTTAAATATTCCTAAAAGTACGAGTTAAATATTTTATAATTATGGATCACTTAATATTTTATTTTCAGGACCGTCATTTAAAACGTAATGGAGACCCTGAGCCAATTGTTGACCCCTCACAGGACTACATGCTTATGCTGGGTTATGAAAATAGAACGCATACTGTACTAAGATTTCGTAGGAAACTTGATACTTGTGATAATGTACATGACATAGCAATAACGGTAAGTAAATAACTTTTATACATGATAAATGAATTACAAAAGTAAAATTAAATTAAACAATTTTAAAAGATGCTCGCTCACACCATAACCTTGATTAATGACACATTTCGCTTTTTTTTCAAAAGTTTTAAGCTGTTTAAATATTTTGTTAAAAACATTGATTAAATGAGTTTCGAAACTTTTTATGCTTTCAAAGTAATGAATTGAAAATGTATTTAAACTTTTTGTGTATTGAAAGCAGACTTATACTAACCCATCTTACAAACCTACATATACATATATGCATGTATATTTGTACATTAGGGTGGCCTCGTTTGATGGAGAAAATGAAAGCTTGATTCTATCTCAGATACCATTTGTAAAAATTTTTGTTCTGGTGTCTGGAGAGATGAGTTAATAGATAAAAATTCCCTTTTTACATTTTTCCGTGTTTCGCGCAAAGGAATGATATGAAGTTTTGATATCTTGTGAGATGTCTTGAGAGGCCTTTTTTAATATCATAAATTTTTGTGTTAGTTAAAAAAATGTATACATTTTAAACTTCTACGGAGATAGGTATATATTTAATGTAATTAACCGAATCATAAATCTAATTATATTTAACCGAAACTTTTTTTCGTTTTTCGAAATTAAATTACATCTAAATAATGTAAACAACAACAATCAAAATGTTGTTTACAAAAAAAGCAAGACAGTTAACATCAATAATTTCTAATTTAGGACCTCCTTAATGTACATACATACCCAGTAAACAATTTTTTCAGACTTTATCAGAATTTTTAACGAATTTCTAAATTTCCCTTAGACATTTTGCGGAATAATCGGCAAACTTTTTGTTAGACTTTTCTGCACATTTTCTGAAGTATTAAACGATTAACATCACACTCGTCTGCACATTATCGAAAGGGAATTTCAGTGTTACTACAATAATGAGACTACTCTGCACATTGGCGGAGGACAATTTGTTTTTTTATACCCTCCACCACCATCAGTGGTGATAGACATATTTCATTAATTAATAAATCTATTGCAGTAAAATACGACCTGTTTTTTTTTTTTTTTTGCATATAAATGATTATACGATTTTTTTTCCTGATCGGTCAATAATTGGTCACAACTCCCATAAAGGAACATTTCCGAAAATTAATTAAACACACATTAACAATCAAAGTTATCGGGATAAAATTCGACATAAATGTGTATTTAGTATATATAAGTCGTTAAACGGAAAATCGATTGTATTTCCGATAGAATTATTGAAAATTTGAATCTCGCAGATATCTGGGGTCTTCTGAAAACTGATTTCATCATACACACAGACAGACAGACGGACATGGCTAAATCGACTCCGCTATCTATAAGGATCCAGAATATATATACTTTATAGGGTCGGAAAATTATATCATATAGGGTCGGAAAATTATATCATAGAAATTACAAACGGAATGACAAACTTATATATACCCTTCTCACGAAGGTAAAGGGTATAATTACATAAAAAGTTTTGTAGTATATCTTTATTTCCGTTTTCACATACATACAAATTAAACATTTATTAAACCATGATATTTGTTAAATTTATTACATTATGTAAACATCTGTTAAGTGTTAGTTCCGAATTACATGGTATATTTTAAGGCGTAATGAAAATGAAGGATATGTTATGGTAAATTTAAATTTATCGTTAAAATTTGATGATTTATATAACTTTTATATGGTAGAGGGTATTTTAGATTCGGCACAGCCGAATATAGCACTCTAACTTGTTCTTGTGTGTCTTTTACAAAAACTATTACAGTTCAATGATGAATTTTGTCAGTAAAAAAATCGTGAAAATCGAATCACAATTTCTTATACCTTTCAAATTACAGAATTATGTAAAAAGATTTAAAATACATTTGTATTTCCATTTTTCATGAATTTCATCAGCAAACATATTTTTATTTTAGTTTTGCACCGTTGTCCAAGTTTGGAGATGTTTTTTGAAAGTATTTTATGTAGGAACCGTACTATTTATTAACCGATTAGAAACCCATGTTTATTCATGAATAAAACGCAACTTTGTTTTTAAAAATCCGTTAACAAGTGACGATATTATTGATCTCTTTCTTAATACAAAATTTTTTCAAAGCTGATTTTCCGAAAGATAGGGGATAGGGCTAAATATGGTCCGATCCTCCCACAATTAGGAGGAAGGATTTAGATTTATATAAAAATTATTTAAGCTGAATTTCATCGTGATATTGATATAATTAAGAGAATTATGGAATTAAAGTCGCTTTCTTAAGGAGGATTTGAATGGGGACTAGGGTCAAATAAGGTCCAAACAATACAAAAATCGGTATAAATGAGTTTGCTGTAATTTTTAGTGATACTGCTGATTCTTTAGACAATACGGTCTTATTTGACCCTAGTCCCCATACAAACCCTCCTTCAGAAAATGACTTCAATTAAATAATTTTCCTCTAAATATTAATATCACGATGAAATTCAGCATAAATAACTTTTATATAAACATAAATCCTTCCACCAAATTTTTCGAGGATCGGTCCATATTTAACCCTATCCCCCATATAAAGCATCCTTCAGAAAATCAATTTATGAACAATTTTCTTAAGAAAAAGATCAATAACGTCGTCAATTGCTAACGGATTTTTAAAAACAAAGTTGCATTTTCCTATGAATAGACAGGGTTTTCTAATCAATTGATAAATAGTACGGTTCCTATATAAAATAATTTAAAAAAACAACTCCAAACTTGGACAACGGTGCATAACTAAAATAAAAAATATGTTTGCTGATGAAATTCACACATATATAAACGTAATATATGTCATTATAAAGGCCTCAGCTTCTGCTTTCTAAATCCATAGATAAACTTGAAATCAGTTCAGATTCAACTAAGTTACTGACTTATAAGTGCTTAAAGGTACGAAAAAGCGGGTTTTTGCCTGTAACTCAAGATTTTGGAGGTGTTTGGCAAATTTAAAAAACATATTCTTGTCCTACTCGGATCCACCTTTCAGAAAAATAGTGTCACTTCCCAGGTATTTTTTTTGTCGCATAGTGTTAGCATTCGTTAAATTTAGTACGTTATGAAATATTCTTTTAATTGCTAGTTCTCTTCTACACGATATTTTTTAAGGCATAATGAAAATGTTTTTAATATGAAAGACATTTTATGGTAAATTTTAATCAATCGTTAAAATTTGATAATTTATGTAACCTGATTATGGTGGATGGTATTTAAAATTCGGCACAGCCGAATAAGTGCTGATAGAGGGTATAAGTGGTGATATAGGGTATATATAAGTTTGTCATTCCATTTGTAACACTGAGAAATATTAATCTGAGACCCAACAAAGTATATATATTCTTGATCCTTATGAAATTCTGAGTCAGATATGTCCGTCTGTCTGTATAATACACGCTCACGTTAAAACGAAGCAATGGAACTCAATGAAATTCACCCAAAATATTCATTGTTATCCTAAGCAGTTTGGTATTGAAGATCGGTGAAATAGGTTCAGATTTATTAGTAAAAATTTGAGACAACCTCGAAAAAAATTGTGATTTTTCACATAATTATTTGTGCTTTTTACAAAAACTACTGCAGATAAATTGATGAATTTTGTCAAAGATACAACTCTTGGTTCCAGGATCAACATTGTTAAAAATCGGAAAAATCGGTTCACAATTTCATATATATCCCCGGAAATTAATTTATTGTTAATAACTTCCGTTATAATGCCGATATCTTTACAAAATTTTACAAATTAAAGCTTTTTGCCAATAGAATTCAAATAAGGAAACAATTTTCGGAATCGGTCCATAATTGGTCTTAGCTTCCATATAAGGTCCCCTTCCAAAAATCACTTAAAGGCACATAACTCATTACCAAATAATGATATACATACAATACAATTGGTACAAATATTGCCTTTGTATACAGAAATGTTACCTTGAAATTTTTTTACGATCGGTCCATATTTGGTCATAGGTTCCATACAAGGTCCCCTGCAGAAAACCACTAAAACGCATTTAAATCGTTACAAAATAATGATATACATATAAAAAATGTGGCACAAACCTTGCTTTTATCTACGGAAATGTTACTAAAAAGTTTGTTTACGATTGGTTCATAATTGGCCATAGCTCCCATACAAGGTCCCCTTCCGAAAATCACTTAAACGCACCTTACTCATTACCAAATAACTATATAGATTAAAAATATGGCACAAATAATGCTTGTATATACAGAAATAATACTGTATTTTTTTACTAAAGGTCCATAATTGGTCGTAGCTCCCACACAAGATCCCCTTTCGAGAATCACTTAAGCGCATATTACTCATTACAAAATAATGATATTCATAAAAAATTTGGCACAAATATTGATGAACTTTGTCAGACATATAGTTTTTGGTACGTGTATCCAGATCCACTGTGTTGAAAATTGATATCGGTCCACAATGTTATATACAAACCATAGGGAGTTAAAAATATTTATTTTTTCGAAAAAAATTAAATAAAAACCGTCCAAATCAAACAGGAGTTTGAACCCACTATCTCTCAGTTCCTAGTTCTACGTCATATCCATTACACTATTAAGTCTGACGATTGTTTGTCAACTAATGATCTTGACAGAGATTTTCTTTCCTGTTTGTGTAAAAAACTGTCGATAACCCACGATCAAATAAAATGATCACATTGAGAAATTGTTACTGTTTCATTTTTTATGCTATTCAGCAACATCAGTGTTGATAAAAGTTATTCAGCAGCAGTGTTTTGCACAAACAGAAAATAACATGATATTTTTATATGGAAAATATTAGTTAACGAGAGTTGAAATAAAGAAGTGGTGTTATAGATTGAACGGAGAATCGACAAGCTTGAACATCGCCGGTTCGATTCCTGATCGATCTTAATAATTAAAATTTTTAATATTTTTTTAAAAACCAAATTAAATGAAATTTTTTGTTTAAAAAAAAATTAATTTCTGAGACAATTTAGCTATGTTCGTCTTCTGCTCATCCGTCTTTGTCAAACACGATCAAAATTTTGATAATATTCTTAAGTTTAATACTGAATATCAGAAATTTATATTTTCATACATATATACAAATTATTATAAATATTTTTATACTCTCCACCACCATCAGTGGTGATGGAGGGTATATATAAGTTTGTCATTCCGTGTGTAACACCTAGAAATATTCACCTGAGACTCAACAAAGTATATATATTCTTGATCCTTATGAAATTCTGAGTCGATTTAGCTATGTCCGTCTGTCTGTCTGTCTGCCTAAAACACGCTCACGTTAAAACTAAGTAAACGAAATAAACCAAATTTACCAAAAAATATTCATTGTTGTCCTAAGCAGTTTGGTATTGAAAATCAGCAAAATCGGTTCACACCGTTAAAAGTTATGAGTAAAAATTTCAGACTACCTCGAAAAAATTACGTTTTTTTCGTAATTATTAAGTCGTTTTCTCAGAAACTACAAAAGATAATTCGATGAATTTTGTTACACGTTATTTTTTTTACCCAGGGAGCAATTATGTTGAAAATCAAAACAATCGATCCAAAATTTCCCGTAGCCCCCATACAAAGGTATATATATCCGGAAATGGATTTATCGTTAATAACTTCCTCAAATATATCGGTATCAACTCAAAATTTCGCACATATACATAAAATATCAACAAAAATCATACTACCAACGTAGATTAGTATCGGTCCACAATTGGTCATAGCTCCCATATAAGGTCTTCTTCCGAAAATCACTCAAACGCGCATATTTCACTGATAAATAAAGCTATCACGATAAAATTTAACATGAATATATTTTGTATACGTATAAACCAATTTACGTTTTTTTCCGAATCGGTCCATAATTGGTCATAGCTCCCATATAAGGCCCACTTCCGAAAATAATTTAAAAGCTCATATTTCATTGTCAAATAAAGCTATCTTGATAAAATTCGACACAAATATGTTTAGTCTAAATATTAATCATTCTACGAAATTTTTTCAGGATAGACCCATAATTGGTCATGGCTCCCATATAAAGTCCACTTCCGAAAATCACTTAAGCGCATATATTTCATTGAATTATAAAGCTATCGGGATAAAATTCGACACAAATATGTTTTGTATACATACAAATCATTCTACAAATTTTTTTACCGTTCGGTCCATTATAGGTCATAGCTCCCATATAAGGCCCACTTCCGAAAATCACTTAAAAGCACATATTTCATTGTCAAATAAAGCTATCGTGATAAAATTCGACATAAATATATTTTGTCTAAATATGAATTACTCTACTAAATTTTTTTTGGATAGGCCCATAATTGGTCATAGCTCCCATATAAGGTCCACTTCCGAAAATCACTTAAACGCATATATTTCATTGAATTCTAAAGCTATTGGGATAAAATTCGACAAGAATGTGTTTTGTGTATATTCAAATCATTCTACCAATTTTTTTACGGATCCGTCCATTATTGGTCATAGCTCCCATATAAGGACCACTTCCGAAAATCACTTAAACGCACATATTTCATTGTCAAATAAAGCAATCTTGATAAAATTGGACACAAATATGTTTTGTCTTTATATGAGTCATTCTACGAAATTTTTTCCGGATAGGCTCATAATTGGTCATAGCTCTCATATAAAGTCCACTTCCGAAAATCACTTAAACGCATATATTTCATTAAATTCTAAAACTATAAGGATAAAATTCGACTTGAATATGTTTTGTGTACATATAAATCATTCTACCACTTTTTTCCCGGATCGGTCCATTATTGACC